GCACCCGGCATGGAGTTGAAATTGGGTATCTTCCTGCCCTGAGAGAGAGAGCGCCCCTCCCTCCCCCCCCCCCCTGCCAAGACCACCCTTGGTACCCCAGAGGGATTTATAGAACTCAGAAAAGCTGTTTGTTACAGTTTATAACAACAGAAGGATACAGATTCAAGTCAGCAAAGGGAAAAGGTACAGAGGATGGAATCCACGAGAGGGCAAGAAAGTGGTCCACCACAAGGGACAGTCACCGGACCCAAGAGCAGAGAGAATCAGTCCTCTGCAACCTGTACAAACAGAGCAATCTGAGGGAGCGAACGAAAGAAAGAGATAAAAATGATTAACAAGATAAAGGAGGGATTAGAGGCCAGAAAGAATGAATCGAGAGATAGGAAAATTGCATGCAGTTTGAATAAAATCAAAACCCCAAAATAATTACTTTGGAATTAAAAGGCCAGGGGACAGGTTAGACAGCACTTAGCTGAACCGGACTGTGTACATCTCACCCTCAAAGACATGTTTTAATCACCCCCGCTTTATAAATAGTCAGTCTCAGATGCATAAGGTTGCATTCACCTTTATTGACTATCGGCTTCTCGATTGTTCAATTAATCTGCCTCATGTGCAGTCCCTCTCCCGGCTCTCTCTGTGTGCTTCTTGTGCAGACACGCTTTTGAACTACCTCTACCCCCTTCCGGAGGAAGTCTGAGCCATGGATCAGTCCTAACGGATCAGTTCCCAGCAGGATGCCAGATGAGAAGCAGAGAGCAGTTGGGGAAGGAGCCCAGCTGGGGCATCAGGCAGCCTCCTGCCAACCCAGAGACAGGTCGGCCTCTCTGGAGAAGCACGTTCCCAGAATGTCAGATGCCCTGGTCTTCACATAGAAGTTAAAAAAAAAAAAAAAAAAAAAAAACACCTTCAAACACCAGCCAGGGATGGTTTTCTGCTCCCCTGCTGGGCCTCCACCCACGCAAATGACTATTGTCTGAAAACTGCCTGATCTTATCACCCCGTTCACAGGGTTGGATGCCAAGGCGCTCACATCGCAGTCGGCGTTATCACCAAAGCACTAACTTTATACCAGGGTAACTAAGCGGTCCCGGAAATCGCCCCAAGTTTTAAATCTCACAGAACTAACCCGTCCCAGTGGGCATTTCTGTTCCCACTCAAATGTGAAACACCAGTCATAAAAAAAGAAGAAGAAGAAGAAAAAGAAGAAATGCTTGTGTCCAAGAAATTCATTGCATACAAATTCCCGTTTCTCTACCCACGCCTCCGACCCTGTCCACCATCCACCGTGCTCCCTCCTCTCCACCACTCCCTCTGAAATCATTTCCATTTATATTAGCCTCTCCTAAGCCTTCTCTTTTAGGAGGACATAAATTTGAGAGCTTAACTGAATTGAATGGGTCCCTCTAAATAAAGTGATCTCACCCTGTAAAAGTCAGCGCAAAGTGACCCGGTAAGTCTAGCTCTCACCCCTGGGGTTCAAGTGCTCGCCCTTCAGTGGGGCTTCACGGAGGCTTCCCTGGAAGGAAAGCTCTGGAAGGTACTTTGGCGCGCTCCATGCAAAGGCAGCAGCCAACGGATCTCATCATTTCTAAATGTCAGCCTCAGTATAATCTCTCTGACCCATTCCAAAGCTTATAGGTCACAGAACATTTTATCTGGCAGTGCCTTTTATATATATATATATTTTTTTTTCAGGTTTAAAGTGTTATCCATTTTTCCCTTCCTTCCCCCTCTGAAGGAGACCTGACTCTTCTATACATATGGTGAGTAAGGCATCAAGGAATTCAAGCAAATGATAAAAATATGTCTGCAGGGAAATAAATTTCCCTTTCTGAAATCAATCACGTGCTATTCACACAAGCAGGAGACACAGCCTGAAATAGCCCTTATCTCACCACTACACTCCACGCAGACGTCCTGTGCAGACACTTAAAGGCCAGAGGCTTTCTCCCTCCATCTCCCTTCTCCCACAGCGGAAGGCAAGGGAGGCCGAGATCTGGGGACAGAGGGGCTGAAAGGCGTGATTAGCCTGAAAAGACTGGCTGGCTGTCACTGGAGCAGATAGCCGGACGGGTCCATTGTCCTGTGCAGATAGCGCGCAGAGCAACTAGCACCGTGGGAAGCAGCCGCGTCTTCCCCCCTGCGGTGCCCGAGAGAAATGGGAGCGTGTATTATTCCCACCCCTCGCCATTGCCTCCTTTTGACTTTGGCGCCCATGGCTTCTTGCTTTGTGGGGGACAAGGGTATCGTGGTAAATGGCACTTTCAAATCATATTTGGAACAGGAGAGGAGTGATGTGGCAGACCCCTGGTTCTTAACCACATCGTGAAAAAGGGGACCTTCGCCAAAATCCCCCAGGGCCATATCGAAGAGGGCTATGGGCCAGGCTGCCCAGGGACACACGTGCTCTGCCATTTACTAGCCGAGCGACCTGCGAAAATCCCAGAGCCTCTCCAGCCTGAGAGATCGATCACTCAGGGTTATAGTTTGGATTAAATAAAAGATGCGTGTGAGCACTTACCCCAGCATTCAGCGCATGATGGAAAATGTTATAACTATTAGGCAGGGAAAGAGCTGATTCCAACAATCAGAGTTGCATATAGACACGTTTCCAACCACCAAAATGGCTCATTTAAAATTTCGGAGTCGTTACATGATGCCAATGGATGCCTACCTCTCAGTCCTCATAATATGTTCGAGGCTGCAACTTGCTCTCGCATTATGTTTGGGTGACAGTGAAAGGGACAAATGGGGAAACCAAGGCAGAGTAGAGTGAATTGTTGTTGACCTAAGTGGTCCTACTAGCACCTCGGTGGCTCAGTCGATTGAACGTCCGGCTTTGGCTCAGGTGTGAGTTCAAGCCCCACGTCGGGCTCACCGCTGCCAGCATGGAGCCCGCTTCAAATCTTCTGTCTCCCCCCATCTCTCTGTGCTTCCCCCGCTCATGCTCTCTCTCTCTCTCTCTCAAAAATAAATAAACATTGGGGCGCCTGGGTGGTGCAGTCGGTTGAGCGTCCGACTTCAGCCAGGTCACGATCTCGCGGTCTGTGAGTTCGAGCCCCGCGTCGGGCTCTGGGCTGATGGCTCAGAGCCTGGAGCCTGTTTCCGATTCTGTGTCTCCCTCTCTCTCTGCCCCTCCCCCGTTCATGCTCTGTCTCTCTCTGTCCCAAAAAAAAATAAATAAACGTTAAAAAAAATAAATAAATAAACATTAAAAAAATAATAATAACATTTGCTTAAAAATAAAGAGAACTGTGGTGGAGAAAAAAAAAAAAACTGAACAAATTCTACCCTTAGCTGGACCCACACAATGACTACTGACAGCCTGATTTTTAAGGTTTCAAATGACAGGTATTTAAAGCTAAAAATAAAATAAAATAAAATAGAGAGATCCTAAACAGAATACTACTCATATTGCCCTGTATTATATAATCAATTAAATGTAAGACTAACCGCTATTTATTAAGTGCCTATTACAAACTGGGGACTGAGCTTGGCACTGATCTGTAATCTCAAACCCTCACATAATCCTACAAAGTAGATACTGTGTTGCCTATCTTAGAGATAGACTCAGAAATGTTGCGTGACTTTCCCAGAGTCACACAGCTGGTCAGTGACATGGCCATGCCTTGAATTCTGGACCCTGAGACCATTCCCTTTCTCCTTATTTTATTCTGTCCCCTCGGGAACAGCCATTTTGAGCCATCTCAGGGAACCAAAGTAGAATTTGGATGGTTGACAGGCTTGTACCAATGCAAAAACAAAACACGAATGTGTTAGATAAATGCAAACCTTCATTCAATCACGCGAGTCAACAGGACTGCATGGGCTTGGATGTTCATGTCTGAACCCCGAGAAGTGAAGCGCGGGGCCCAAACTGAGTAATTGCAAAGCTAGATAAGAATGTGCAGGCCCAACCCGAAGGGGCTGGTGACCATCGGCGGGTAGCCCTTCCCAGCCCCACTCATCCAAGGGTGAGCTAGCAAGTAGGTGGGGACCTTGGATCTCACATCCCTTCCCAAAGTCTGTTCTAATTATCCCCCTCACTGTGTGAATAAGCTTCCATTTATTCCAAAAGACTATTTTTGTGAACCCTCCATCCATTTAATAGCTCTTTAATCCCTATCCCCTTTTGGAATCTTTTTACTTAGATGCCACCCTGCTTTCATCTGCATCTACCTCTGTCCAGCCTCTTAGCTGGCCCCGGCCCCTGCTCGCTCTGCAGTGAGGGCAGTGCACAACCGTCTCCTTCCCCAAAGCCCAGGAACGCTTCACAGACAGAACCTCACTTCGAGCTAAGTGCTTCTATTATGAGCCACACTATTCTTTCCCACTTTTTAAAATGCACTTAGGCTGACGTCCACTGGGCAGGTTTAGGGAGTCAGCAGAACCATGTACCCACACTGTCCAAAGTCAGTCCCACTGCCCCCACTTTGCACCAATGAGGACACTGACCCTTGAGCACTTGCATAACTTGTCCAAGGTCACACAGCTCACAGAAGGCTGAGCTGGGGATCAAACTGTGATCTGAGACTTCTAAGTGTGCTGGGTGCATGCTGGCTCTTTAATGAACTATAACACAGAGATTCCCATGATCTTCGATTCCAGTGAGTTTTCTAGGGACAGGGGTCAAGGGGCAGAGAGTAGCATAAAGCCTCAGAGATCAGACTTTTGGAAATCAAATTTGGTTTTTGGACCACCTTACTGGTGAGCTTGAGTTCAGGAAAGTTGGTTACCCACCTCCAAAATGGTTGTTTACTTGCTAACTGAATGGCTCTCCACCAGAATATGTCCCCAGCAAACAGGCATCGTGGTCTGCTGCCTTCTCTCCACTCAGAACAAGGCCTGGCCCCAACTTGGTATTTAATAAATATTCATTGCCTGAGCACACACTTCTTTTCTGCCACCTTTCTTCCAAGGTAATCATGTCAAAGGTATTTGTTTTACTGCCCTGCACACCCCCCTCCCTCATAAATCCGTCATCATCATTAGGAGTTTCTGGCTGTCAGTTTTAGTAACAGAAAGATATTTGTAATTAACTACTTGCATCCCTGGTGAAGTGCATAGTTATCATAATAAAGATATCAAGCGATACTCCACACTTACTGAGAGCTTCCTCACCCTAAGTAAAAGCGCTCAGCCAGGTCATTCTCAGCACAAAAACCCCCATTTTACAGATGATACAATGAAGGGTCAAAGAGCAGAGGTAACTTGCCTGAGGTCACATTGTGAAGAGCCAGGACACCAATTGATTCTTTTTTTTTTTTTTTTTCATGTTTATTTATTTTAGAGACAGAGCATGAGCATGAGCAGGGGAAGGGTAGAGAGAGGAAGAACAGAATCCGAAGCAGGCTCCAGGCTCCGAGCTGTCAGCACGGAGCTGGATGCAAGGGCAGGAAGTCATGAACTGCGAGATCGTGACCTGGGCCGAAGTCAGACACTTAAGCGACTGAGTCACCCAGGCGCCCCCGAAGCCAATGGATTCTAGAGCCCTCTCTCCACCATTAGACTGCAGAGCCCGACGCAATTAGGAGGAAAATGTAAACCTGCGATGGGAAACACGATGCTCTTCCGAAGACCTTGCCTTGACTGGTACGTCAGGCTCCACACCCGCGGGAGGAGATTGCGGAACTTGCCGCAGCCCCTCCAGCTCTGAGACCAAAGGCGTCTTGCGCCTTCGTGAAGCGCGTGCGCAGAGAGGTGCCCGCGATGCAGCCGACTACTGGCGCCGCGCTGTGTGGACGACCGACCCGGCGGCTCGGACAGCTCGGAGGCGGGGCCCGTGAGCACGAGGCCGCCCTGCTCGGCCGGCAGGTGCACCGCGGCAGCTGCGGTGACGCCTCCGGCGGAGT